AAACATTTGTAGTTCGTGTGGTTATGCGTCTTTAGTATAAAGACGGGCACAGGGCACAAGACGTATTATGCGTCTTGACGAACTTTACATCGAAATTCGTCTTGACCGACGAACTAGGAGAGATAGTTCGTCTGCGCGCATAATACAAAATACGTCTTGTGCACGTCTTTATACTAGAGACGCATAATCAGACGAACTACAAATGCTTGCCCAAGTTCGTCCAGACGGATAATGCGTCTTAAGTATAAAAACGGCCTTTATACTTGAACTCTAATAACTCTTCAACTACGTTTCCAGTTTGCAAAAAGGAATGAAAAAGTAATGCCCCCCTTGATGTATTAAATTTTACATCCAACCCCCCTCTCTCTCTTGTTGTCATTTTCTCCTATGCCCCCCTCTAATTTTCCACCCTCCCCCCAGGTAATTATCGCACAGTCCCTAAATTTCAGAGATTATTGTTCTATTTTCTTAGGATGATCAGATCCACGTACCCTCAGATTTGTGCAGTAAATTTGAAGACCTGAACTTCTTAAAAAAATACAATTCAATACCTAAGTGAAATTCATACCAGGTAGGTGAAATATGCTCTGTTCAGAGAGAATCAACATTTTTGTCTTTAAGTGCCGCAAGAAAAGTATGCACCAAACTCATTGATGCTGAACGATATTCTTTTTTTAGAAAAACGCGGTTGGCTGAAGTTCATCTTGTAAGGAATTCTGAATTAGAAGTTAACCCATTGTTGAAAAGCTTTCAAGAAATTAAACTAAGTCCAAAATTTGAAAGAAACGTAAAGCTGTACAAGACGATACTCCATCGTTTTCATCAAGTCTAATGCATTTTTACTGGCAGTTTACTTTTAAATAACAAATGGTCATGCATGCATGCTGATTATCTATGTTGTTGACGCCACCACAATTTTCTGTATCGACTCCACTCAAGACAACCCATGTAATTCTATTAACTGTGCCCTTGTAAAATTTTTCACTTGGTGTGTTAATAACCACCTAACTCCTCATTTAATAATTGCGAGACTATGGTATTCTCTAAAGCTCGTCTAGTGGGACCACTGCCTGCCAATTACATTGGCAATTATGTCATAGAATACAAGGTTAAGATCAGGCTTCTCGGTGTCACCTTGGATCCAAATTTGAACTGGATACCTCACCTCCAAGAACATATTAAAAGTTTTGCAAATAAACTAAATCTTTTGAAGAACTCCAGGTTTTTGCACAAACATGTATGCGAGCCTTTCTAACGTACACGCACGGGGTAGAGTTAATCAGGAAGTTTTATGAAGTTATTCAAAGCATTAGAAAGACAACGCTACTGTGCTCCAGGACTATTTTCGGTTTAACATCGGACATGCCCTTGGCAGAGGTTTTAGCCACAGCCAAGTGAAAACCCTTATCACATCTATATAAAACTCCGAATTAAACTCCTCTATAAACGATACACATGCTCTGGTTAAACAACTGAAAACCTGAAACTGTAGATCTGCTTCGAGAATGAAGCATGGACTCGTAACACCGAGTTCTGTTTCAGAATAAATGCAGAATTCTATTGCTTACGGGGGAAACACCCTCTAGAATACATTAGGACGTTCAAATGGATCGGTCTTTGAATGCACAGATATCAGGTCTTTTGTGAAAAACGTAGAAAAGTGTTACACTTCTAAGGACTTTAATTTTAACGTGTTAGCTCTGCAAACGACAAATTACAGACTAAGGAATTTTAAATATTTTCAACCACGACAAGTGCTTTAAGACTTTTTAGTTTATGTGGATCTCTTCTTTATTGTAGCTTATAATATTGAACCTTTGCAATCATTTGTTTTATTTTGTTGGTAAACGACCTCACAAGCAGTAAGCTTTGACGTGTAATCGTGTTTAAGTTGTATGTATGTGTGCGTATGGTAAGTTAATTTAACTTAAACAGTTACGGAAAATATGTGCTAACACCTGCTTAATTATTAACTGAAAGGGGTAAACGAAGTTCCCCTGCTGAATTATGCGTAGAGAGCCTGGATTAGCTAAACTGGGGTCCATGATACATCAAAATCGAATTTTGCCATGAGTCATAAATTCATAAATAGGTCGAGTGTCTCTCCTAATTATGCCAAAATTATCTACTTCTGTACAAAATGCCGACTAACAGCCTTACTGTGTGCTCTTTCCGTCCTTTAGGATGTTAAGAATCTCAGACAAAGTACTGTTTATGCCTTCTATCTTCTCATTTTGAATTTCGATGGTATTTTCAATGCTCTTGATATTTTCCTTCTGTAAGTTGACATCATCTGTTATCTTCTCAATTTTTTCTTGCATGTACTGCAGCAGGACATCACTTGTCACTTTCATTTCCTCCACTGAATCAAATGTTTGGTATAGAATCATGGTCTGCTCAGTTTCGTTGAACATTGAACCAAATCCATCCTCATAGTTGCCTGAAGATCGTTGATCATTTGAGTCCTTCCGCTCACCTGGACACATCTTGAAGAAAAGTATTGACGTGTAATGTTAGGGCTTGCAACTTTTAGTTCTAGATAACTTGAGTTAATGCGCATTTGAAAAAAACCCATATGGAATTTGCGCACTACAAATTTTTCATTGTCAATAAATATTTACATGTAAGAAAAGAAGAAAGGGAAGCAAGATTGGTAGTTAGATAGTTTTTCAGTCGGTCCGTTGGTCAGTCTGTCAGTCAGTCTGTCAGTCTGTCAGTTTGTCAGTCAGTCTGTCAGTCTGTCAGTCAGGCTGTTAGTCAGTCAGTCAGTCAGTTGGTCAGTCAGTCAGTCAGTCAGTCGGTCAGTCGATCAGTCAGTCAGTCAGTCGGTCAGTCGGTCAGTCGGTCAGTCGGTCAGTCGGTCAGTCAGTCATGCATGGTCAGGCAACTAGTAAGTCAGTCAGTCCGTCCAAGAAAAGTATTGACGTGTTATTTAACAAGCATTTAAGAAAATAAGGAATGGAAGCTAGGTTGTCAAGTAGTAGGGTAGGTAGGTTGGTTGGTAGGTATTTAGATCAATTTTTTTGCCCAAACTCCATAACTTTAACTATAAGTGTATAAGGTATGTAATTACTTTGCCTGTAAGCGCCTTTGAACGATAGACCTGGCATAGTATTACGCATGCGGCTGTCTTTTTATGAATAGCTCACTTGAAACCATAAAAAAGGTTACAAATTGTGGTTTTTAAAAAAAAAGCAAAAATTTGATTTCTACAAACCTTTGCTAGCACTCGAATCCCTTTATGCTTCATTCCGACAAAAGGAAAAATGTCTGACTTTTCGGATCCTAACTTCAATAAAATCTGAGCAACCACTTCACCATTTAGAGAGAAAAAAATTGGAATTTTTCCCTCGTTTACTTCATCAAAACCGGCTCTGCAGCCAATCAAATCACCACGATACACCACAGGACCTAAAAGAGAAGGAGTTGACAGATTTATTTTACAGTAAATCAGGCGTCTTTGATCCCCTGTATCACAAAGCTTTTAGTGTGTGATGAAAAAAACAAAAAAACATTTTGTCACTCGATCTTGTAAATAATTCCCGGCGTCAATAATGTTAGACGTGTTCCTAGGCCGAAGAAGACAAGTCCTCCGTCTTTGATTTAAGATGCACAGCTTTAATAATTTTACTTTGTCATACAATTACATGAAATCTATATAAGATTACCTTCTATGAAATTTTGTTTCCCAGAGGCATCGAAGTAAACAACACGACCGTTGGACGCATGGTAACCAACAGTATGGCGTACTTCCCCAGCGGCTTTGTGAACGTCATGTTTTGCTCGAACCACACCAACAACTAAATCTCTGTTCATACCACCCTCTTGAACTATCACCTATAACAATACATATGATTAGAAAATAACCTAAAGAAAATGCGCGCGCTGATTGGTTAAAAATCATGTTTCTATAACTCGATGAAAAGACGAGCTGTTGACGTTAAGAATTTACAAATTGATGATCAAAGTAAACAAGTTGTTTTCTTTTTTGTTGTCACATAATTTTCTAAAAGAAATAGAGAACATGTTCTCCGTGTTTCAATCGAGTTATAGAAATACTCGCGAAAGCCTGGGAGAACTCGAAAAAGCTGTGGAAACACTCGCCTGTCAACTCGTGCTCCACAGCATTTCTAGTTCTCCCAAACTACCACTCGTGTTTCTATTTAACAACTCGATAGAAACACGGAACATGTTTTTTATTTCTTAACTAAAATTTGTCTCATTGCGATAATGATAGAACTGATTGTCGTATATTGGTTCAGGCAAAAGTTCCTGACTATAAATGTCCATTGCCAAGGTAGCTGGTGTTGTTATCGACTTACCTCAAATCTAGGCGAATCTTGCGAGAATGGTTGTATGTATCTGGCTCCATGGAATTCCTTTCGCGAAATTTTGCAACTGCTGCAAAGAGCAGGTCCAATGTACGTTAACATATAATCTTCAATGTGAATTCCCTGGCTCTTCCATGCCTAATAAATCGATTAAACGAATCAGTGACTGACTGGCTTTGAAGTTTAGAAGACAACGAGCAACATAAATGAGGGTGGCAAAGGTGGGGTACCAATCACGCGTCACGCTGAATTTTTCTATTAAATCACGCATCACGGATCGCCATCATCGCTAATTTTACTTTCTGGACCCTAAAAGCGTCGTTAAAAGAAGAAATTTGCCGATTCAACCACAAAAATGCATCGGCAAATATGTGACCTCTCATGCGAAAACGTTCCTTACGGTATCCGTTCGAACGACTGAACGCACGGCAAGTGAACTAGTCTGCGAACAGGCTCCCAGCGAGGGTGGAAAAAAACATTCGACGAGGACGCGAAAAACAATCCAAGCGCGAAAAACAGAATTACGCGAATTGCACTCCCCCTCGTCACCATTCCGCTCTCAGTTCTCCCCGCTCGTCCTAGACCACACTTGGCTAGTTCGCACCGAACCCTTTAACCCAAACGGTAGCCTGTTCCCAGGCTAAGAGTGAACGGATAATTTGAATAGCGATAGTCAATTTACGTGTCCCAAGATATCTTAAGACCACTTGGTTCTAAATGAGTTGATAACCACTGTATATAGTGAGTAATGACTCTAGCAATGATGCAACCTGTGCAAGTGAGTGTAGCGGATTAATGAAATGTATTGCTGTGCAGGTATACGTTGGGAATTAATACGATGAAAACTGTGTAGGTATATGTGGGGGATAAATGAGATGTAGGCTGTGTAGGTATAGGTAGGGGATTAATGAAATGTAGGTTGCGTATTGCTTTGTAGGTATATGTGGGGGATTAATGAGATGTAGGCTATGTAGGTATATGTAGGGGGATTGATGAGATGTAGGCTGCGTAGGTATATATGGGGGATTAATGAGATGTAGGCTGTGTAGGTATATTTGGGGGGATTGATGAGATGTAGGCTGTGTAGGTATCTGTGGGGGATTAATGACATGTAGGCTGTGTAGGTATATATGGGGGATTAATGAGACGTAGGCCGTGTAGGCATATGTGGGCGACTAATGAGATTTAGGCTGTGTAGGTACATGTAAGGGATTAATGAGATGTAGGCTGTGTAGGTATATGTAGGGGATTAATGAGATGTAGGCTGTGTAGTTGTATGTTGGGGTTTAATGAGATGTAAGCTCAGTAGGTATATGTGGGGGATTAATAAAATGTAGGCTATGTAGGTGTGTGTGGGGGATTAATGAGATGTAGGATGTGTACGCATATGTAGGGGATCATTGAAATGTAGGCTGTGTAGGTATATGTGGGGGATTAATTAAATGTAGGCTGTGTAGCTATAGCTGGGGGATTAATGAGAAGTGGGCTGTGTAGGTATATGTAGGAGATTAACGAGAAGTTGGCTGTGTGGGTATATGTAGGGGATATTTGGGGGATATTTAGGGGGATAGTTGAGGAAGAATACTTGATTATATATCCATGAGGTATTGTTTAAGAGAGATTAAGAGAGAGGTGTACATTGCGGTGGAATTAACTAGCCGCCCAACCATCCGGGTGGTGTCGCACTTATAAAGCGAAAGAACAAAAGGCTTGGCTATGAGCCAATCAGAAAGCACTGACGTCATAGCCAAAATGTGCAAACGAGTTTCTAACACCGGCTGGATTTGATTATTCAAAATGGCGGACATGAAGGTTTAAGGTTATAGTATGCTAATTTCCCAAACATTCTTTGTATGCACGCTTATGTTCTGTAACGGTTTTGTAATTTATGCTGTACAGATAGTGATATATTAAAATACGCGTTCACCTTGTGTATCTTGAGTTACAGTAGCCAGATTAAGTCTTGATTGATGACGTTCGTTTAAGGTTCTCTCTGCAATCTAATATTACATGTTGCAGCGAAAGGGCACTTCAAATTCGTCGACAACGTCCACCGTCTACGAATGCCTACGAGCGAAAAAACAACTTCCGATGCCTCGCCCGGCGCCGCCTAAAGCATCACAATTTTCAATGTTATTCCACCAGATATCATTGTCTCCGCAACATTTAGATTTGAGGTCAATTAAGTAGCGAGATCCCCGAAAACTGGAAGCTATGGAAAGAGAAATACTGTAATAATTACTTGGTGTGGAGCGGGAAAGCTCCGAGTATCAACTCGCCATGTTCAAGAAGTTATTGATGACGATGGCCTTTAAGTGTTCAAAGCCTTAAGCTATACTGAAGAAGAAGATGCAAACGATTGCCGTGTGGTAATGGGGAAGATGAAAAGGTATTGCATCAGCGAAGTAACGTAACGAGATTGTTTCAGCAGGAGGGAAAAACTTCCTATCGAAAAGCTCGACAACTTAATCGCTGAATTAAAAGAACATTGGCAAAGAGCTGCAATTAATCTGATTTTTTACAATTCAGTTTACACGATACTCTCATCTGCGTTCGACCGGTCTTGGGATAAAACATGAGCACAGCACAAAGCAGCCACTTAGGATGACAGACCCCGGTCGTTAAACAAGTGTATCGACCGTGACCTTCCAGCATCCGAGATGCAAATATAGGGATCTTAACCATGACGACGGCGACGCCGAGGACAACGCTTGTAAAATTGAATTTGTCCAGGATGCCTATGGCTCTAAAACCTCATTCAGGCTAAATATGTAATGACAACGTTCAATTGTAAATGGAAATAAGGAAAATTAGCAGTTCGACTCATCGTTCGCGGTCATTTTGTGGACGGCTATGAAAGGTACAAAGGTTTACTGAACACACTTGTACAGCCTTTGTTTTGCTCATTAAACCTTTTTTCGATGGTGCTCATTGACGTCGTGGTTTCCTCCAGACTTTGTCCTCACTACGCCGGAGGAATTTAAAAATTTCTACGGAAGAGGCTTACGGTCAAGAGTAATCCGTCACGAAAACGGAGCTTTTCGAAAACGTTCTTCAAACCGGAGGAATTTGAAAACGCCGGCTTTGAGTTTTCGTGTTTACGGAAAACATTTTAAAACGGACCTTTTCGAACACGATAGGATCAGGAGAACCACGTGATTTCTATGGCTGAGATTTCCTCAAACAAAAATATAAAACGACCGGTGATTGTTGCGTTTTTAAATTCCTCCGGTGTAGTGTGGACGACCGGGCGTAAGCTTCCTAGGTTCCTAATGAAGTCAATAATCAGACGGCGTTCTTCAATGAGTCCAACGAGAAAAAATCGGAGGAGGTCCCGCGCAAAAGAGAAATGCACCATAAATAAACACCGTAAACAAATTAAATATTTAGGAATGGAACAATTTAAGGACCTCGATCGAGTTTAATATTCGTTATATGTTACAAGCATTATCACGAAGGCTGACCTGGTGGCTAAATTAAGTTTTAGTTTACTTACTTTTTCTGTCGGATTTATCAGAAGGAGCCTGGAACACATTTTAGAAAAACTCTTGTTATTCGTTAGTAAGAGACCATCTGTGCGGGATTCACATACCCAAAAGGAAATTCATGACATCCAGATCTAAGGTGTACAACGACAAGCCGCTCGTTTTGTTAAACAATCGGGAGCCTGTTCACAGGCTAAGTTGGCAGAAATCTTGTGTACAAATTGAGAAGACGTCTACGCCATCTTTGCCATGCTCTAATATACAGGCAATATTTTTGCAAAAGCTATAAACCTGCTAATCCTTTTTTGTGGGGCAACGTTTTTATGTCTGTAAAGGATATAACGTGGTTTTTGAATTCATTTAGGTCTTTATGACGACCTTCATTAAGTGGCACACAAACGTTTCCCTTGTGTAGTCTCTCGTTGCTTACNGGCAACGTTTTTATGTCTGTAAAGGATATAACGTGGTTTTTGAATTCATTTAGGTCTTTATGACGACCTTCATTAAGTGGCACACAAACGTTTCCCTTGTGTAGTCTCTCGTTGCTTACAGAGCTGTCTTCTCGAACGGTATAAAATGACACCAACCTCTAACGTGTGTTATCGTTTCAGCCCTTTTTGACGAAATACGATAGCCGGATTCGGATATGGTGTGTCTTATTCTTTTGGTCTGATGCACTGCCAAAAATGGTCGGTCGACAAAATGGACAAAAATAACACTGAAGCTCACAGTCCTCGTGCAAAGTTTAACTATTTTCAATTGACTTATTCCTATAATTTGTATCACAATTGTTTGGACCTATAGTGCCATGCGATCCACGAAGATCAAAGGCATCAGAGGTCAAGAAAAGGACGAAAAAGACCAGGAAATGGTGTCATGTCTGCCACGATTTAATGATCTTTTTTAAGACTATTTACTATTAACTTTGAATGAATGCTATATCCTTCTAGTTCAAAGAGCGTTAACTTATCACGGAAATCTAATTGGTAAATTACACATTACGTGCTTGTAAAATAGCAAATCACGCATCACGTTATGATGTCCTGTCCCGCGTCACGCGGCTAATTTGGTCTCAATCACGCATCACGCTGCTAATCTCTTGGGGCGATCACGCGTCACGCAAAAACACTTTGCCACCCTCATAAACCAAGATTTAGAGTTGTTTTTTCTCTGAAAATAAACTATAAGGGCATTTTTGTACGTTCGTAAACAACAATATCAGCAAAATAAGATACGTCATGTCTGAGTATACTTTTCTTGATTAAAATATCAATTTTCTCCAAAGGGGATAAGGAAACTCTCATTCATTACTCTCTGAGAGCAACGCTAGCAAAGTATGGCAAATACTTCCGTTAATAAATGTCGGTATGTACACCAAACATTAGAAAATTGATGTTAAACAACAAGTATAACGGAGTGGTTTTCAACTGAGAGTCGTAAAACCAAAACCAAACTAATTACTAGGCCAATCTCAAACCGTAGTAAAACCAAAACCAAAACCAAAACCAAAGTAATTGTCTGATTACTTTTGACTGTCAATTGAAAAGTTCCCTAATCGTGAACCCAACCTATAGTGCTACTTACTAAACGACCAACAGGGCAAAGTAACGGATCGGCATTTGTTTGTACAGGATCAATAAACACTCGTCTGACAATCTGATTGCACATTTCCCGGTTTCTGTCCGTCTCAGACAACATGCTATTGATTTTACTTTCATCTGCAAAAAAGCAAGAGTTTTCTCATAAAATTAACGTATCCAACACGAGAGACAGTGTTCCATCACGTTTCCAAACACCGATGAAAAAGTTGAGAATTTTTTTCGAACTTCGAGGTGTTCAAAAATGTTCTTTTCAATCAAACCTGAACTTAGGGAGAAAAGAGGGATGTAAAATCGTAAAAATATGTATTGATATTTCTGATACTTGATACGGATTTTAAGACTTTTTCGTAGCAAGCAGGCGAGACATGAAAATACAAACCGCGTCTACTATTTTTCAAATCATCACTGGCTTCGTCGTGGTGAAAGTTCATAAATTAATGTTACACGGCTACAAAATTAACTGACTTTTCAGCTCGACAGTAAATGCTCATCTTTTTTAACCAAGAAGGAGGGGTGAACCTTTTTAAATCTAGCTTGATTTTTATGACTCTGTCCTCTCCATTCCCGATATTAACACAGTGGAGATTTAGAGAAAGGGCAAGACTGAAAGGAAAACATCTTCACCTGATAGAGGAAATGTGAATCCATACTTCGCAAAATAAACCACCTTTAACTTTTCAATGATGTAATCTAATGCCTCAACCTGAAAACAAACAAACAAACAAACAAACAAACAAAAACGAAAACAGAATAAAAGTATATTATTTTCAGTGTGTAGTCGATTCAGTTACTACTAATGACATATAGGTACCTAACCCTCAGAGAATGACTAAACAAGTTACAGCTCGCTCCTTGTCTTCATGCCTTCATGTGCCGATATAAAATAAATGTTTATACATATGTCATCTACCTTTCTCTCCAACAGTTCTTCGTCCTGTTCATTCACTTCTTCCGAGTCCCTACACAACGCTAATACAGGCTGAGATAGCAGGTTTAGTGGTACTGGAATCGGATGATAGTCTCTGTATGTTCGGATTGTTACAGCTTTCTTGAATGACCACTCGCTCAAAGAATTTTTCTGAGAGGAAAGAAAAGGTTTTAGAAAGGTTTTATGTCACGCTGGGTCTGTCTGTTTGGGAATCGATTTCATTACTGTTAAACTTTGTATGTACAACAGCTAGAATAACATGCAAGTTGTACATCAAATTCAATTCGCTCGACAAGTAAAAGCCGTATTTGCTTACTTGATTCCTCCCGTAGCGTAAAAAAATAAAATAAAATAAATAAAACAATAAAAATATTTACCACGCGGTTCCTCGTTCAATTAACTGATCCGTCGTTCGAAAATCTATAGCTATGAGTAACGGTATTAAGGAGACTGAAATTCTTCAATAATTTATATCTATTCAATTCATGCCGAAATTGAACAGGAAATACAGGGCGCTTTCCATGCAACCAAAATTCTGAAAATTTCAAAAAGGAAATTACCTGAGAAAGTTTCCAGAAAATCCGAAAATTGTTACATTTTCGAAAAGTGAACAATTCAACCAAAAATTCAGCAAATTCTGGGACGAAAGTCAATGGAACGGAAATTCCCTGTAAGAATTTTTCGAAAATTTCGGTTTACCTCTCAAACTTGTCCGCTTTTCCTGAAATTCCGGAAAATGTTGCTCCATTCGTCGCTGAAAATTTCCGGAAATTCAAACCCGAATTTGTCTTTGAATGAGAAGCACCCAGTTTTCCTAATCTGTAATGTTGTTTGCTTGCTCTTTTTTTTTTTAAGAAAGTCGGTAAAAGTATCACCTGTACTCGTTCATATGTGTTGGAGAGCACCGCAATCATCATATTAACAAGCAGGACGAGGGCAGCAATGATAAATACAGCGTACAAAATTTGAGCCAGGTGATCTGATGGAGTTTCCACACCAGCGTTGAAAACATCCAGTTCTGTCACTCCCAGCAGCGTCCAGCTTAGATGCTTCATGATTCCCCACCAACTAGAGCAAGAAGAAGACACGTAATTCGGGAAACATAACGTGTTGAAATGGTATAATCAGTATGAAAAATTAAATATATACAATAACTCAAAGACAGACGGCCATACAAAATTCACAAAAATAGCGTACGAAAGTCCATAGGAAAAAAAAACACATTTTAGAATATAGGTAGCTATTTTCAAAGTAAATAACATTTCATCAAGTTTAGACAAAGGCACTCATGACCGTGACGGCTTTTGGATGTCTGATCTTATTTAGCATAGATTTTTGCGATCTTATTTCTCCGTTTCCTCCTTAGTTTTAGTATCGATTGAGAAGATTTATCGAACGCTCAAGACAGTGGTTGACAACATTTCCAAACATCTCGAAGTTCGTCAAAAGTACTCCGCTACGCGTCGTATTTTCAACTCTTTTCTCGTTGTTTGGAAATGTGGTCAAACAGTCTTTCGTGTTTGATATATTACTTCTTGAAATTTTAATTTTGGAAGATCTCTTAAATATTATTTTCAAATATATAGCGCAATAAACTGCTTGGTCGAAGGATATTTCTCTTATTATCTTTTATTTCTTATATCTGTTGTAAAAACTTACCAGGACAATCCAGAACTGTTACAATCTGTATTATCCCTACAAGGCCAAAACAAAGTTAACTAGTATTGACTGAAACGAAAAACACAGTAAAGCCCAATTCGAGGAACTTTGCTAATAACAAACAACGCCCAACACCGTAATTCCTGATTTAGAACCGCAATATGTTAAAAGACTACTGACCTTTTATCACGCAGCAATCTCTCCTCACTTGAGATAAACGAGCCTTCAGCAACATAGATTTTGGTCATTGCCAGAGAAAATGCAAGTATTCCTACAAGGAACTGGAAGAAGATTATGGCCACGTCTTCAATAATGCTCATTAGAGCAATATGCGTCGTGCCCGTCACCGAGCTCGCTTCCATCATATGGCCAAAGACCCGTAGTGTCAGAATCATGGTGTTCAGGCCATAACAGTAGCCAGCGATAACCAATGCTCGACTGCCAGTTGTGGAAGTGGACACACCCCAAGTCACCACGCGCAACATGAACGTGACTACATAAATGACGAGCATGATGAAGTCCAACACGTTCCAACGATCACTGAAAGAATAACATTGACTCTAGTATTGTAAATCATAAGCACGTAGATTCATCGTTGTTTAGAGAGCAGAAATAAGGAACTAAGGTAAGATGCAAGAAAAAAACAAGATTGACCTAAAGTTTTAGTTAATCAGTTTAAAGGAGCTCAGTCACGGTTTGCCCATATTGAAAAGCTTAGCCTCAATTTTTCAAATTCGTCGTTTGTAATCCGTGTCAATCTTCTCCATCCTTAGCCATCCTTGTTCCTTTATGGTTTATCATTATCATGTCTTTGGTGTTTTTCTATCTTATTAAACTGTTATTTTCAGGTTTTCTACCATTTAAAGGTAATTTTGTATGTGGCCAAAAAACTCAAAATACCGAGACCGAGCCCCTTTAACGTTTACCTTAAGAAAAAAAATATTCAACCGTATTACAGCTATAACCATAATTAATTGCAGCCCTTTTTTAAGAATGAACATCGTCCTTTGGGTGATAAAATATCCAATAAAAATGAAATAGCTCCGATGGAAGTAGTTTATAGTAATAAACGAAATCTTCATGATTGGGGGAATGTCCATGAAAGAAATGATGACTGAGGTTATGTCGTGTGTCCTCTTCCTAGGTATTAAGGGTGTTTATGATAACTTTAAACGAAATAAAAAATGACTGAAGCAAGTGCCTTGGTTTGCTTGCTACTTGCTGCCGTCCTGCTTTTACAGGATATCACAGTTGACGGTGAATGGTAGTCGAGTGAAGACAAATGAATAAATACATCATTCACGTTTATTGATGTTATTCCTGTTGTTGTTACCCGATCTAACCACGCTGTGTGGGATCAGAGCTCAGTTTGGCTGGTAAGGCGTCAGTTACAAGCTGTTACACTATAAATACCCGTTGCTATCAAATTTGTCAAAATTTTTTTTAAGAGTAAGCTAAACTAACTTACATGAAGTATTTTCCCATCGTGCTGAAAACCAATCGCGAGTGGTAATCCTCCACTTCAATAGGCAAATCCAGGTTGTCATCATGGCTACTCCCAGATTGCTGATAAACATATTGTCCATGTTTTCTAGAAAGACTTTTACGCTTTTCGAGTCTCTTCGATGTCTTTCTGTTGTTATATTGTTTGAACTCCGAGAGGAAGCGCCCAACGAAAAAAACGGCGATCACCCATTCCACAGCTGAGAAAGGAACAACTGATGGCGAGAGGCAGATTGCGATGTGAAGACCTAGGAGAGACAGGTAGCTAAGCGTGTCTCTAAAAAATATGAAGTATGGTGTGGTGAAGTACTCCAGGTAGCGATCTGCGGTAGAAGATAAGGTTAAAACGTAAGAATTTCATGTATTTCAAACGTCATAAACATAGTTATTTGATAGTGTATCGTTACAGTCCCTTTAATATCAAGAGTTAGGCTGGCAGCCAAATACACTCTAGCTTAGCAGTGTTGGTGCTTTTAAGTTCCGGCTTGTGTATCAGAATTTCTACTTCCCTGGATGGGCTTCCTGTTTAATGCATTTTAACATGCACCGCTCGAAGTGAAGTCCAACGGACTAACCGCGGTTAGGCCACCTCGCACAACTCCTGGTATGTAGGCTATACAAGTACGTACGCGTAGGGTATGAAACCCTGTACTTAGTGATATTCTCTCTCCACATTGAAACAGAGACTGACTATAGCGGAGCTCTGTGTTAACAAATGGAAAATTTTCAGTGCGCAATACGGCTAGACACCAACAATGCTTATTTGACCACACTGGTATCAAAATGGGCAATGCTTCAAGATCCTTAGAAAGCAAAGTAGGATAAAGAACTGGCATGTTCAAAGGCATAATCTTACCATAAAGATCCTCTTCGTAAACCTCTGAAAACCAAAAAATTAAAAGACGGATTTTAACATAACGGACACTAAATAGAAATATGGCCCAGTTACTTTAGCAGAAGAAGCACACTTACACATTGAAAGCCATTTCAACATATACATATAAAGTTTAATCAAATTGCATAAAAGATGAAACAGGTTGTTTACTATTGACAACTATTGACTGTTGTGCTCATTAATGATTTTATTTGCAAACAAAGTTTGATACTCCAGTAAACATTACCCACGACACCTTTGGCATTAAGAATCTAATTTCTCCGCATCATTACCATTCGAAAAGCTCACCTCTTAACAGCTTATTGCCAAGTTTTGCCCGATCTTCCAATGGACAACGGATGACTTTGTTTCCTGATGAAATAAGCTCGAGGTCCTCCACAAGGGGACGTTCTCCAACAGCAACGGGCACAATTTTTACTCCAACAGACTCGGTTAGATGTTTTGTCTTGAGCAGTAATCTTCCTTTTTGAGGACCGAACGATCCAGTTGTGTCATTTGTGAAGAGAATGATAATCTATATGAAAGGATGAAACCCATTTGTCAGGTATTATGAAGCTAACCACTGGCTGGTTAGCTCAGTTGTGATAGAGCAACAGACTGCTGTGCGGGAGGTCGAGGATTCGAACCCCAGACCGTACCAACACTCAGGGTCTTAAAAAAACTGAGAAGAATGTGCCACCTTTGTAAGTACATCTACAAATGGTTAGACGTTCAAGTCTTTTAGGACAAGGACTATAAATCGTGGGCCCCGTCCCCTGCATCTTCAGTGTTAAATGGTTAGCAAGGGACGTTTAAAGAACCCACACACTTATCGCAAGGAGTAGGGCGCGTAATTCCTGGTGTTGTGGTTGTAGACACACAGACATAGCCGTGGACATGGACATGGAGATGGACATGGACATGGTTAGCAAGGGACGATTAAAGAACCCGGGCACGTAGTTCCCGGTGTTGTGGTTGTAGACATACAGATATTGTATATTTTAATTTGATAAAATGCCGTATTTCAATAAAGGGTTCCATCCATCCATGTCCTTGTCCATATCCATATCTACGGCTGTCTGTATGTCTATGCCTCTGTGTCTGTTTATGTCTACTAATCCAGTACAAATCTTAGGGAGGTGTGTTTTATTGAAGAAAAACTCTCGATCGTTCCAAAGAAAAAAGCTATGACAATAAAGAATCCTGGTTAATTTCTTGTAAACTCATAACGGCTTCGCGTTCCACGGTAGCACCAGAGATTTTCATTGCAACTTTGCAAGTTGCATTGCTTCACAACTTGGGTAATAAATAGTACGCAAAATTTACCTTCTTTGAAGTTATCCTTATAGCCTGGGTCTTGAAGGCCTCCACTGCTTGGTTAAAGTCATCGTGCAGGGCTGGGCAACAGTTCACCGGTGGATTTAAGGCATCAAGCCTTTTAAAAAGCAGGTCTTTGTCATCTTTGAAGAACGAATTGACGTCGAACCTTACGTGTTGAAAGGCTTTTCCCTTCTTGAAGCTTATCAGGCAGTAGTTGGCAGATTTGACGCCAATCCGCTCTATCATGTATTTGATGCAGCCTATCATCTTCTTGAAGTCCTCTTTTCCTTTCTTCCCGGTGGCATTAAGAATGAAGCAAAGTTCCAGATCTACAGAAGTGAAAAGGATTTGATGACGCAGTGTTGACGTAGAAATGTCTACACGCTTCTTTTTTTCCATATATGCTCATGTACAAGGCTTACCATCATAATGCTAAACATGCAGTTCTATTATTTGTAGAATACTATATCTCACAGCTTATATAGGCGTATATTTAGCTGATAATGAGAGGTGACTGGATGATGTTCAAAGGTAGTCATGGACATTGAAGAGCTTGCCCTTTGAGGATAGCCATGTCAGAAAATCTAAGGTCTCAGAGATAAAGAGACGAAATAAATAGCTCGACCTGGCGGATTGGGTTTAAATTCTGGTCTAGCTCTGATCACGGAGTTGCATGGCCAGATCAAACCGTGGCCGAAACTACGTGGGTCTATTACAAACCTTTAGACTTTCTTCTCCATGCATTGATCGAATGAATAACAAACAAAAATGCGAACAGCAACGGGAAGAGAATGATATCCAGTAAGCTATAAAGCCTCAGTAATGTCCATTTCCATCTGTATTTTGATCTCAAGCCAGCAAATCGTCCTCTCCAAACTTTTTCAAGCAAGTTATAAACAACTGGGTGGGACAGAAACTTGAGGAGATAAAAAAAGCAAAACAAGCATGGCATTAAAAAGGATCCTGTAAACAAATCAATTGAATATCATTCAAACAAGAAAATTAAAACGTAGTCCGTTCACATCAAGCCCTAGGTATACTGGGCAACTCAGGAGTTCCATCCAAATGTCTCTTTTTGGAAAGTGCGGCCAAAAAAAGTGTCTAATGTTTGTGGTCACCTCTCAGCACGCTCACACATAAACGTATTGATTGTACAAACTGAAATGTAGCCAACTGTCAGAAGTTTACAATTTCTGGTACCACTAAGAAAGTGAACGTCGAGAGCGGGGGTTGATATTTTGGACAGTCTCTTTACATCTTACTTCTACCCTAAATAAATTTTGCTCAGCGTGACGTTTAACAAATTTTGCCCGGCTAAGCGTCTGCGACATTGAAGAACACAGCATATAAATCCAAAGCCACCTTGTTGAACTGAAAGAATTTAAATAATTGAAAAGATAGTATAGGAATATGACCACTGCTGTCCGTTTGCGTCTCGTCGTAAAACAGTCAGTCCCAAAGATGACACTTCTAAAGCAATGGAGACATTCGGAAAACGATCGCGTAACCTTTACTAAGTAATCCGAATTGAAACGGTAATGGTGGGCGGCATACAACAGGAATCTTTCTTACGGCGAAACTTTGTTGTAAATTCTTACAAGAAAAGTTTCATCCGAATTTCCTAATTCTCATCTAGTTCGCAAAGCAAGGGATTTTGATACAAAATTTGGCTTAACAGTTACCTTTCCTTGATTATATTCAATGGCTTTGTCAATGATCAAGTCCAGCGAATCACCAAAAGCTTCCCTGTCTTTTGTATCCGACTTGAGAGGATCTATGAGACAAGTCGTAAATTCCTCTACAGAATTTGCCAATTTTTCTAGTTCTTCCACATCTGGCCTGTCCTTGTGAGCTTGGTATTTCAAATAGCCACTAACCTTCAGTTACAGAATCACACAAAATTATAAATGACTAAAGAGGCATTTACTACTTACGGTGCAGTTAAGGTGAGGTATGGTGTGGTGCAATGCGCTGCGCTGCGGTGCCGGGTGAAGTGTGGTGTGGTACGGAGCGGTGCTGTGTGGTATAGTGTGGTGCAGTACAGTTTCGAGTGAGGTGTGATACTCTGACTTGCCGTGCGGTGCGGTACAGTGTGGTGTCGGGTGAAGTGTCCTGTGTTACGGTGCGGTACGGTATAGCGTGGTGCAGGGCGGTGCCAAGTCAGGTGTGATGCAGTTCCGTGCGGTGTGGTGTGGTGCGGCGAGGTACAGTGCGGCGTGGGGTGAAGTGTGGTGTGTTACGGTGCAGTGCGGTATAGTGTGGTGCAGAACGGTGCCGAGTGAGGCGTGATGCGATGCCGTGTGGTGTGGTGTGGTGCTTTGTGGTGTGGTGTGGTGTGGTGAGGTGAGAAGCGGTGCATGCAACATTGCGGTTCCGGTGTAGTCTAAATCATCTCACTGTACAGTTTTGACACATCTCTTACCACTTATTGTTTCAAACACACATCATTACAGTTTCCACATAGAAATATGTAGCTCACATAAGCACAATATAATACCCACATACCTCAAATGCCTTCAGAAGAGTATTTGTGCTGCACGCTCCAAGCGTTTTCGGTGTGATGGCTTCTGCTATGTCGTCAAAGTCATCAGACGCCAATTTCTTGTTCAAATTCTTCTCAAAGTCTAGCAATCATTTATAAACAACGAGACTTAAGAAATGACAAGTCTGTAACTTCCGAACTATATTACACTCCATTGTGTGCGATCAGGAGTTTTTTTTTTCTGATCGTAGGTAAGACTCATCTTTGCATATTTAACAGTCTAGCTTAGAATCTGTCATCGAGGTAGCTATCACCTTCTTTGATTGAACGAGGCCTGTAGCCCCCGTGCAGTTGTCTACTATTTCCTTCTGAGCATCGTAACTGACGAGATAACAAACAGATCGGATGCAGCGCTTCCGGAAGACATTCATAGTAAATTGAGTTCCTAATATACTCACCCGATAATGATTGCATCTTTCTTGTCCACTGTGGCTTCCTGAGGGAAAGCAATGTCAACTTAAAAAAAGTGCTGTAGAATGCATTCAATAGACCATATTCGTATTCTCGGTATAGGACTGGAACTAGCTTGCAACTAAGTCTGGCGCTAATGCGCGGAATCTTTTCAAATGTAAATGACAGTCTCTTGTTGTGATATTCCCTGGCATGAGCCTCCATTGCAAGCTAGTTCCAGTCCAATACCGAGAATACGAATATGGCCTATTGGATGACCACTCAGTATAAATTTACTCCCAAAACTAATCTGTCAATCTTTCAGACATTGAAAATAACGGCACAATATCACAATAGCTAATGAAAGAGAGGCAGACTGTTTTTTTTTCTCTTTTTTCGAGAACTGACCGAAGATCCGGAATTAATGCCTGGTGTTGCGCAAACAGTCTGCTCATCAATCTCGACTAGACCAAACTACTCCCGGTGTTTGGCACGCGTCAGATGCTCAGCGGAGTCCCGGATGACTTCAGCCTGTGTGGCACTTCTCGGAAAACAGTCGCATTCCAGTTACGTCTGCTGAAGATTTAGGCGCCAGAGTTGATGTACCGTAAGTTTAATCTTTGACGAACACGTGACTAAAGTTGTTGTTGTTGTTTTTTTCATGTACAAAGGAAAGTCAAGCTGGACTGGTGCGAGTTTCTTTGTTTTTGGATGACCCACTGTGCAACTCGCGTCCTAGCATGGCTAATTTTGCACCATGTGACCAGGTCGTACAAAGGGTCTATTAGATACTGAAAAGCCCTCAAAGCAAGTTACAACTGCAAACATCGGAAAAGAAACAAGAAAGAAAGCTTGCAGCTGTAAATGTAAACAAAAAAATACTGATTTAAAAGACCCGTAACATGGCAATATAATAAACCTGTTATCCAAAGTAAAATGTGACGAAATAAAGCAAACATACGTGTTTTACTGGCGAGCTATGAATAATAACACTTACGGTGCGAGCCGTAAGTCAAAATGAGTGATATTATGTCATGTTTCGCAGAGTAGTCTACTTTAATGATTAAAGTAAGAATGAGTGAATGAGTGAGTGAGTGAGCGAGTAATAGCAATATGGTAATAGTATTCTTCATTGCGCCTTACTCTCCAAAGGAAGGTATTGGTCTTGATCAAATCCATTTTGAAATCACTGGTTATCCTCGCAATCTGATTGGCTCTCAGCGGTGCGATTTATTCACGAATCGCACTATTTTTTGCTCTAAATCACATGTTTTTCTCAGCCAATGAGACTGGGACAGTGAAACAAAGCAACCAATCAGATTTCAAGGTTACTTTAAAGTTACCAATAAAATTTCAGGAAAATGGAAGGGAAAAAGCCATTGTGTGGCGAATTTTGCAACGATTATTGCCAAAACTTTGTTGTTATTGTTGTTTTTTTTTTTCCAAAGCTATTGACGAATTTTAGTTAATTACAGTTTCTGAAAGGCGACTATGAGCTCCTTCAGGCTGCAGACCTCTTTTAATTGAAGTTTCAAACTTTCAGTGTCCATTTTGACGAAATGAATTTCAATTACCATTATAAATAAAACAAAGGTTTGAACATGAGAGAGTGAGTGATTGAGTGAGTGAGTGAGTGAGTGTGTGAGTAAGTGCTGTGAACGCCATGCCATTTCATTGACCGAGCTCTTGAAACGGGAAAATAATCATCCAAACAGGAAACAAAAAAGAACTGATATCGTTAATTCCGGAAAATGACGTTGTCGGGAAGTCGAGGCAACAAGGGTGAAAATTTGTTAGCTCAGTTTTCCTTCCACCTCCTTCTGTACCTTGTTAGAGATATCTAACTTGTGTTTTCCATAGAACGTTATGTCTGGTTTTCTAATAAATACCGTCGATTATGGTGAATATCTTCCCAATATTTCTTTCTAAAATGCATTCCTTCAGAATGCTGTTGTCAATACAGTTCGGTCTAGATTTAATACTTGGCTTCACACTAGAGCTTGTAAGATAATCCAAGTACACTTGGAACCTACTTTGAGTGTGACGGGGTAAATTGTACTTACTTGAACTTTACTTAGTGATCATGGAAACATTCGTAGTTCAAAGAAGCCGAAGTGCGCTGCCAAGCAAGGTCCACACCACACTTGAGAACACACTTGACCAATAGGAAATGGAACGGCCAACTGGAAGCGATGTGCAGCGTTGCTACAATTTTGATAATCGGACCGATAAACAACTTGCTTGGATTTCATTTTCAGAGACAGCCTAAACCATCGCTTTTTACGTCATCCGACACCAAATAATAATAATTATAATAATAATAAGATTCCAGCAAGAAAAACATTCTTTGTTCGATTTCGCAAACTAAATATAGTTTTTCAGTTTATATTGTTTTAACTTCATACGCTAATAAATCATTAATTTCTTTTTCAAAACAAGTTGGACGTACGGTGAGACAGTCCTTAATTTATTCCAACATGTAACCTAAACTATACCCAGGATTTTACGAAGAAAAGTCGTTGTATAAAATCAAAAAAGACTATTCTCTAGAAATGCAAAATACAAAATGCTCTTCTGTAAATTACAAACCAGCTGCTGTTTCAAGTTGCAACCAGGTCATTTCTTTAAACCCGAACAACTCTGTTGAACATTGCACACTGAAATGCATTTTCTCGGTTAGCTGAAGCGAGACTAAAGCCCCCATTCAAGAGAAATACAGAAGATGCCGTTTGTTCCTTAGTGTTGCTGCTATTGCTGTGTTGCTCTTTAGCAAGCCAACAGCATTTCTTCCCGATTTTACTACCGAACAATCGCAATTGTGATATATACGACTGATTTTACTGCGAAAATGCTTCAAGCAATATACTTTGTCACCAGGTGTGAAGCCAAGTTTTCTAAAATGCGTGTTGAGATTTTCAAGTGCACTTGAGTCAAGTGCTTACTTACTTACCAGCCAGAGTAAAGATAAATGTCACAGGAAAATTGAAAATAACCGAGAAGGTGGAAAAAAAGTTATGGTTCTTGGGAAAAGTCACAAAGATTAACAACTGTAGCTTCAAAGCGTTTTAAGTTAATAATAATAAGATGGACAGCTATAAACCTGTGTTTCACGTGCAGATTCAGGCAGAGCTGTCAAAACTTGACGTGTTTCCGCTCTAAACGTTAATTGGTGCAATTAAAAAACGCGACAGTTTGTCTGGGCAAACTTGAATGTTTTAAGCGTGGAACAACGCGGAAAAAAGTTGGCCGTTCACGGTAGCTCGAAAATGGTAGTAAGTCAGAATGATCGATTTTAAGTCATGTTTTTGTCTGTTTGCCCGCAAAGTAGTCTACATTTAGTAACTTAGTGCACCTGAATGGTTAGCCGGTAATACATGGCGTAGTGCGAAATGACTTCGAGAAACAGCGAAACGAAAATCGATCGCACCATTGAAATATTGCTACAAATGACCCAAAATGTAATAAAATAGATGGTGCGACTGGAAGAGACTAGAAATTACATTTGACCTTACTTATCAACCTCGAAGAAAAAGATCAGTTTAAAAAAGTGATTCTATTTACCTTATATTGAAGTGCTTTTGTGCTCTGCTCCACCATCAACTCTTTGCCTTCATTAAGAAAAGTCATGTCATTTTATTGACCGCGCTCTTAAAACAAGGAATATATTCATCCAATGGTGGCTCATATTCAGTGTTTATTCCGGAAATGACGTTTCCGCTCACGATGGAAAGGAAATCGAAGCAACAAGCGTGGAAATTTGTTGGTTCGGTACAATGAACGTTTTCTAGTTTTTTACTACCCTCCATACCGTCTATTACAGAAACGTTGTCATTCACGGTGGAAAAGAAGTCGAAGCAACAAACGTGGAAATTTGTTGTTTCAATTTTCTTGCCATTTGCTGGTCATCTTCTTAGATGTGATTATGTTAAGTTTGCTGCATAGCCTTCTAAAGGAAGAAAACTAGTTCATTGTTTCTCAAAGGGCCATTTAGTAATATCAGCCAATCAAAATGCTTTGTTACTGGTCCAATATCTTCTAAGTCTGAGACCGGCTTAGGTTTCTCGGTACGTACATCTCTGCTGGTGTCAATCATAAAAATAAATACATCTATTCAGGCATAGGATTTTTAGACAGACACCTTATTCCATCGTGGCTAACTGAAAAAAAAACATAATTAGAGAAATTTTCTCCTTTCTTATTTAACAGTCAACACTTTAGTGGATGTCTCAATGAAATTAAAGATGTATAGCAGGGGAAGACGAATTCACCGACACCAGTGAAACAAGCCCGAGGCGGTGAAGCAGTCTAAAACGGAACCGCACTGAATACAATGTTGTCAATCAGCTTTGCATTTCAATTGAACGTATTTTTGCTTCATCCAATTCAGTAGCAGACAAATAAACAGAAATACTTAAAGAACTTCACTGAAGATCGTTAAGTATGAAGTTGTAACTTCACTGAAGTTCGTTGAGTATCAATACTCGTTAAGTGTGAATACTTAACGAACTTCACTGAAGTGCGTTAAGTATGAATACCCTGTGTAACCTTATAGCTCTTGGATAACAACCATAACGGTTAAATTTTATGATTCTTTTTACGACCACCAATATATAGGGCCTTTAATATTCACAGATTATTTTAGATCACACCCGTACTGAACCAAAAAGTACGGTAAAGTGCCAAATATTGATTTTCGTTTTTTTGTTCTTCCGTCCGTTTTGATGGACCAGAATTTCCGAAAAGTTTGGTTCTTTGAAACGCATGAAATGTTTTGAGCATAACCGATGGATTGAGGTTGTTACACTTTCTGAGTTATTCATGTTCCTGTGCCCGTATCACGGCAGGATGTAGATTAGGATCAGTTTTTGTTTCTCACCAAACGTCGGATCCAGCTCACTGTTCATATTAAACAATAAAAATTACGTTACAATTTTAAAATGCCACAGTCTGTAGAAAGATCGAACAGATGCCAAAAGGGCTCTGTTGTGCTCAATGAACAAAAACAAATTAAAGTTTCCAGAGAATAAATTATCGACAAGATCGGGACTAAGTACATGATTTAGTTTGTAAATAATTCAAAGCTATCTCATTGCAATGGAGTATTTGTGCAAGTTACAAACGCAAACCCTGGAAAAGAAACTTTGTAGCTGCAAAGATAACAAGTAATTGCTGATACATAAGGCTCTTGACTGTCTTGAAATCGGCGCAATCAGTTAAACAATATGTTTATCAGTAAACTCCAAACAAACTGTGACGAAATGTACAAAGGAAAGTCAAGCTGGACTGGTACGAGTTTCTTTGTTTTTGGATGACCCACTGTGTAACTTGCGTGCTAGCATGGCCGATTTTGCTCTATGTTACAAGGGCGTGCAAAGAGTATATTAGTTACTGAAAAGCGCTCAGGAGAATATTCAAATAAATTATTTGTGTTTGTATTTGTTACTGGCATTGGCGTTTCAGGGCAGTAGGTTCGTGTGTACTCGCCGTTGTTTAATAAACTGCGAAGATTCATACACGAAATTATTAGAAATTGTCGAAGTCAAAACAGGTTTTAACCGCTTGCCTCTCCTTGTCGTGGCTGTTGGTACAGCTTTATGTAACAAAGAAATGCCACATTCGTCACCGTCAAACAGAAGCAAGAACCAAGCTGTGAAAACGTGTTCGTTGCATTTTACATAGTAATCTGCCTAATGAAACGTAACAACGCAATTGATAATGGAAAACAACAAATGTGTGACTTTTTCCGAGCTTACATTATCACTATTTTCTTGAAAAGGAAAAAAAAATCCTACATTAATTGCCGCAGTACAGAGAACTTAACTTAACAACAGAGACAACAATTTTAAAGGGACATAAGCGTTGCTATCTGTTCAGCTAGTATATTAAAGCCAATATAACCAGGAAAACGCTTCTGTAGAATAATTATTCTGAATTGCTGAAGTGTAGACATGCAAATGGCTTAAGTCATACATCTACACAGTTTTGCCAATATATCATTAACGATTAACAAGTTCCATTGGACCAACTCACACATGTCACACTGAGGCGATAGAAAAGCTGACTCAACATCCAGCTGCAAAGTATCAGCTGTGATCGGTCAAACCGGAAATCAACGAATTATAGGTTTACGAAGAGCCTAGGCAAGCCGTGTATTTAACCGTGTCTACAAGGGCCTTTCAGGGAAACTGTATTTAAAAAAAACACGGGTTTCACTTTCCTTACCTGTTGTTAAAGAGTTAAAACGCATCCAAATGAATAACATCTCATGGGTTTTTATGGCCTATACAGTATCACGATGCTCTGTAGATGAATGTAGATCAAGTCCCTCAAAAACCGGAAGTCAACATAATCTGCCACGCAAGGGCCCATGGGAAGTAGATGTAGTACCCAGTTCTTTTCTTCTCCATGAAAATGGCGGATTCAAAGAAGGATGCTTATTTTCTCGGGACATTTGTAATCTTTATTTCCTGACAAGCTCCGAGCTGTTTGTGCGTGATGATGTTCAGGTGATAAGCTCTTAACAAGGATTTTGGCGAGTACAAAGCATTCTATGTTGTTTACTTTCCACCGGTGGTCACATGCCCCGTCATATGTGGGTAAATATAGATCGAGGGGAATACCCTCATTATAATGAGCCATCTTTGCCTTGCTTCGCCTACCGTTCAACAATATTGCGAGCACTATCAATGATCGCTGTCTTTCCGGCTCGTATTGTGATTTTGATTCCATGAGACGCAAGCAATCATGCTGAAGACGTTCGCTTAGGGGTGCACAACGATCAGCAGGCGAAGTCATGGAAAGCAACAGCTACAGAACGTTTCTTCTTCAAATATCAGATCATATCACTGAGGGAAAATTGAGACAGCTGAAATACCTCTGTTCGGATGACATCCCAGAGGGAGATTTAGAAATGATCCGTTCTCCCTTGGACCTCTTTAGACAACTAGAAAGGCGTGAGATGATAGGAATCGACAACTTATCATTTTTACAACAACTGTTATCGGACGTAACGTGCGTTCAGTTGGCGAAAAAAGTTGGCGACTTCATCTCAAGAAGAGAGGTTGAATTGCTATGCTTGAAGATACAACGAGGTGAACTGCGAAAAATCGAAGGAGTGCCGATGGCTGGAGATAGACAGAATCACGTTCTTAACCATAGTCTTAAAGAGGCAGCTGTAGTTATAACAAGTTAGTATGAAATTTCAGAGCTGGTAAAGTACCCTTCTCATATGCTTTATAACACACCTTGATCGCCCACATATACCCTAGCCTGTTCCAGGCTCTCGGTAGTTGGGGAGAAAAGAGGACAAGCGAGAGCAGAAACGCTCTCCTTTTTTTCGTTCGTCTCCAACTACCGAGAGCCTAGAACAGGCTACATATACTCCTGTATAATGCTATTGGATAAATAACCTCAGTACATACAGATACATACATTGTCATACCTTACATTATTTTTGGTAATGAATGATAGTCACTATAAAAGAAACGAAAATGAAAATTGAATCAAGTGTGAATTCAATTGTGCCCCAACATGTACATTCTAGACTGCCTAAGTTTTAATCTCCAAATATGCTCCTCTCCATTGCCACATGTTAGATACAGAAAGATATAAACCAAATACATTCATGGAACGATTTTGGCCAGAAGGATAACTGTTGTCTTAAAGGTTATTTTTTGTTCTAAATATTTGACAAATTTTATCCTTTACACCTCATTTACATCAATATATATAATTGAAACGACTGCAAAAATCAAATTTGTACACGTCTTACTAGTCATGATAAAGAAGCATCATTTTCAAATCCGGCAGTCTTAGAACAAGTCTTGACACTCTTGATACCTCACAGGTTGCAATGTTACAGATGGAAAACATGATGAAAAGATTACTGAGGTGCACCCTGGGAGATGTTCTTGTTTTATACATCAATCTCCTAATCAGAGAAAACAAGGAGGTAAACATTTAAGCCTTGCTCAACTAGCTAGATTATTTAATTGTACTACAGTACATGTACTCATATCCTGGACCTGAACACACTGGCAGGGGTGGATCCAGGATTTTTCAAGTAAAGGTGGATGGCACCTTCACGTTGTAGAATGTGGGGCAATGGCCCCAAAAATGTTTTAATAATTCAAAACTGTTACACCACAATTACCAGTAATGCCACAAAGTAGAAATAACATTGAGGTACCTGTCCCAAGTTTTTACCTTCATTTGTACTATAATATTCACAATTTTCTTTTTGTTTCTTTAAAAGGGGAGTGGTTAGCTACCCAATCTACACCCTCCCCCCCTCAAATCTGTCCCTTACTGGTCACTGATTAGACCTGTTAATTACACCTGTCCACTTGTGAGAATTGTCTAATTAGCTTGTTTCCTCCCCTAAATATTCACTATATCTTCTACATGTAACTACTTGCATTTAACCCAGGATAACCAGCTATGTGTTGTCTCAAATTCTAGCTCATTTGTCAAATAATTGCAGAAATTTACCTTCGAATTGCCCTTGAGCTGGCCACTAAAGGTGCTTGGGTTGCAGGAACTGCCTTTATACTGAAGAGGTACATCAACGAACCAGAAACTCTTGTTCGCTTGTTCACATCTGTTGTCCTGCCATCAGGGATTCTTGTAAAGTACCTCTGCGAAGGATCAGTTATTTGTGTTCTAGAAACAAATGATATGCAGGGTCTAAAAGAGCTGTGGCAGAAATATGAGAGTGGTAAGCTTCAAGAGGCTTTGGAGGAAATCTTGATCACAGAGGAGCTCAGAGAGTTATCAGCAGGCCAGGAAATAATATTAACTGTGGAACTGGATGAGAATATGTACCGTGATGTTTGTTTGGAGCTGATGATGACAAAAAGGAAAGGTACCAAGTGTTTCCATTCCATTTCATGATACATGACGAGACTCTGTTGGTCAGAATTAGTGGGTAATGGCAGAACTGTTATAATAAAATAAGGGATATTGTGCTGATGAACCCACCAAAAATTGCATTCTACCTCGACAGCTTACATTATCAATGAACGGTATTAAATCATACAAGTTAATTTCCAGCTGGCCTACAAGAGTTAAGTGATCTAATCTGCAGGTCATGGGTTTGAACTGTGGGGACAAAGATTTTCTCTTTGCCTCGTCTAGTCTGCTGTTTTCTCTCTGAAGTTTTCTTTCTTTCTGTCATTTTCTTTCTTCTCTAAGTTGTGCCTTGCTTTTACCATTTGTTATGCTTTACTATAGTAGACCAACTTTTGGAAGGTGTTAAGCAGCGACCTCGCAGTTTATCAGATCCTGTAATCAAGCAATTAGAAAAACCTGAAAACACCTTCCAACAGCAAAGCCTCCACATTGTTGCTGATACAGAGAGAAGGAAACGTCTTGAAGCTGAAAAAAAATTGAAAAAACTTATAGCAGGTCAATCTTTGGAGCTTCGCTTTCCTGAACTACAATTATATGCAGACAAAAGTTTCCAAGACAAAACAGCTCATGATGGTGCTGATGAAAGTGATGATAATTCATCCACAACCAGTACTTTGGATGAAGGTGATGTTTTTTTAATGTGATAATTTTAGAGTAACATTTATCTAACCAGTTGCTTTTTACATCACTGGTATGTTCCTTGGCCTCATATTCATTCTATAATATAAACAAACTGAAAATAACATATAATTAACTGTTTAACAATTAAAATAATAACTATAATGATGATAATAATAGTAATAATTATTAATATTCTGTTTGTTAATAAAAATAATAATAATAATGATAATAATAATTATAATCATCATCATTATCATCATCATCATAAACAAATCAACATATAATATGTATATATCAGAATCACAAAAGGGTACTTGCTATTGCTATAATTTAATCTCATATCCCCCAGATAGCAATGTAAATTGTAATACTCAGAGGGTTTCAATAATCCATAGAATAACGAAACAGTTCTGAGCTTTTGTTTGCCATCTGTTATATGAATGTTTTCACTTTGATAAGTGTTATTGATGCACTTATTTTGAGATGGCACTTAAAAATGTGCATTTCCTATATAAATTATATTAAATTGTGGAACACTCAGAGAATTTCTTTTAAAATTATACAGTGTAACTGCTTTTCCTTTATACCATGTAGAGGAAGTGCTTGATTGGGAAGATAAACATGATTTGGCAAAAGAGTTCTGGATATCAATCAAGGGCAGTCTGAAAGAAAAGGTAAACAGTTTTTGTTTGATTGTCTTGTACATGTGCATGGCCACTTTTTTTTATATAAACATTTCTGGTAATTGCCAAGAAAATCAAGGCAGAGTTGATATCATTATACATGTATATTATTATTATTTTAATGCTCTCTTTTTTTGTGCATGTTGTTTTCAAATATAATTTTCAAATTCATAGAATATTTACTGTTAGGACCTATTATATCTGATATACATGTACCACAGTTACATAACTTAAGTATGTTAAAAAAGTCACGTGAACAGTTCATTTCTCAAGCTGTTACAAATATGAATATTATTGAGAGATACAGAAGCTGGCTTTAATTAGGTGCTATATTTACTTACACAGAAATGGTCAGATTTTTTGGATGCAGTCAGGAAAGCATCTCCCGATGATCTTGAACGTGGAGGGACTGCACTGATTAAATTCCTGGCATATGTCCTGCATGTGAACTATGGTAAGAGTTAAATATATTGGTAACTATTTTCACTTTATTTAAAGATGATTTCTTGCATGGAAACCATGCAAGGTTTAATACTATCCACTCTCTTAAAAGATTGATGAACCAGTGATGAATCTCATAAGAGGCAACAGAATTGTCCTCTAGCTTACTTAGTTTGTAGTATAAACAATAGGATCCATTTGGCTTGAAAATATGCTAGGATATTTTCAAAGAAGCAAACCCTTAATGTGCCTTTAAGTTTTAAAAAGGTAAGGTGACTCTGAGCCCTATGTACAGAATATTTTACACTTTGCCGAAAGTTGCATCTTATCATACTTATTAAAATTTGATAAATATATATAAAAAAATACACTGAGCTGTTTTTGAATTATAGGCCCCTAAAGCTTTCAGCATACTAGTACTGTTGGTATGGCAACCTATTGTGTCCCAAAAATGATAACAACATGTTCACCAATGATTGGACAGTTTTTTGATACCATGATTTAATTGTAGCATCAAGTGATAAAGAGTGGTTATAATGACCCATCAAAATCTAACTGCTGGAAACTGTTTTGAGCCACCTTAAGCATTTACACCAATCGTGAGTGAGCAAAAATATTTGATGGATTATAACTACTAATAATTTAGTGAAAGTACAGTATTGTGAGAGGTAAATACTTTGAAGACATAAGTGAAGCAAGAGAAAATTTGGATGTTTTTGTTATAATGTGATTTAAGCTTTGTTATAACCAAAACTGCAGAGGATGTCTTTCAATCTTCTTTAGCAAAAGGGAAATTAGAAATTGTCAACCTTCAAAACTACATCAGGCTGACTGGGTGGTTTGGACCATTCACGAAAGGGCCACAAGGCTGCCTACAGAAGGTGAGTTGTTAAATTGTGCACATAAAAATTGTGTCCTCTATACTTTTTTTTTCTCATAAGGCTTTTTATCACTTCCATAAATAAATATTGTTAGATGAAAATTTATAGTCAATGATTTTACGATTTAGTTTGCAACTTTTTCACTGCAAAACATTACAGGTCTAGATGGCGGTCTAGATGGGAAAATCTAGACTGCTTTCAATATCGATTTCAGCCAATCAAATTCGTCAATTTGGTAGTTCCCAGTCCGTGTGAGACAGAGCCATTTAATAATGTGCTACCCTCCTTAAAAAAAGTCTTACTTTACTTTTGAGTCTCACTGGGTGTGTATGACATCATTGATAATGACATTCCTCCATACAGTGCAGGGAACAATACCGATTGTTTTATGTGGGAACCATCTCTGTGCTTGGAAAAATACACATGTATGCATGTCCAATTTAAGTCCAGTGTGACATTTACAGAATGGAGACTGGAGACCACAGACTTCAGACCATACACTGCACACATGTAATATCATATATTTCCCATTTCCATCATCGATAGCTAACAGTAAACAGGCTAACCCACGCCCTATTCAGGCTAATAATTATGAATGATATTCAGGCTAACTGGAGAGCTATTTAGGCCTTTAAAATGTAGTTTGCAGTCTGCAAATGTCGCATACTGCAAGTAGTAGCGGTTGACTGTAGCTCTCTTTTTACTTTGAATCTTGAGATTTTCTCTTGACGTTGAGGGAATCGTAGATACAAGCTGCTTCCCTCAGGACCAGTGATAAAGTTTGCATCTAATCAATAAGCTTATAATATCTACCATATTCTGCTGTCAAGGCCTCCATCAAATTTTCCAGATATATACTTCTTGTACATCTTCAATCTTCAGGTGAAAGAGTTGTATCCGCATTTATTTTTTGTTATAATTAACCGTTGGCCTGGATGATCTTATTGACTTTTAGATGACTCATCTAATGGAAAACTCAGCTTCTGTTGATTCCGATGGAAAAGTAGTAAGGTATCAATATTTCTTTTGATATGCTACATTGCATATCTTCTAGTGACGAGCCTGCATGGTATATTGTACCCCTATAATGGTGATTTTTAAAAGGACCAGGACCCCAACTGATGAAAAAAAGTTGGGAGGATGCTTCTCGTTTCGCGTAGGGGTGTAAATCAAACATTTTGGCCGCACTTTATGGGTGTTCAGGACAAAAGTGCTCTATTTTTAGCCATCAAAGTATCTTTTATTAGTGTTTACTTGGAAAAATAGTAAAAAATGCTGTAATTTCCATTTTAAGTGGTATCTTTTAGGAGTCAAATAAAGCTCGAGCCAAGTTCAGATTGGTCTACTTTAAGAGTCTAGTTCAAATTTCCCAACAAGCATCCCTGTCCTCAGTTTCGTATGGGAGTTCCCCCTGGGCATAAGTAAGTAGTTTATAATCTATAATTTCATAGGGTTAGGGTTAGAGTTTAGCAAGGTTGGCAAGTGATGTTGAAAACATGTACATAGTTAGCTGAATTAAGTTTTGTTCTTGTTACAGCTGGTTTGCTGGATACATGAAAGAACAGCAGGCCAAAGAGTGGTTGCGAAATGAGAAGGGTGGTGCGTTCTTGATCAGATTCAATACTCCAACTGGCTTTCTGTTGTCAAAGAAGTCTAGCGACATGGACAGTGTAGTTGAATTCGCCATTGAGGCAAGTGTTAGCGTGTGTTTTATCCATTATGAAAGTGAATGTATGAAAGAGTTAAGCCTGAAAAAAATCCAGGGTACTGGATAGCGGTGTAGTGCTCTACAAACCGAGTTATCAACTTTATTAAGCCAACTGTGAGCTGGTCGGACTTTGTGAGTTGGAGCTCGCAATTTAGCTGAGCTTCAGCAAACAGAATAGTCTTTAGGCTTTATGAGGATTGATGAACATGTCATATTTGCATTCAATGACATATTGACAGCGGCCGTTGGAACCCAAACTTGATAAGGCGTTGGTCAATTCAGGTCGAGTAAGTGTGAAACAAGAAGATCTGTTAGATCTT